TCCGATCTCCATGACGGGAACACAGTTTATCTAGGTTTAACTTCATATACATAAGTGTACGTATATGCTGCATCAACCATGCCATTTTTATCATGATTAGCCAGACCACTGTGTATATCATACTCATTTAAGGTTCTCTGAAAATAATGGTCAAGCGATAATTGAAGTTGCGTGAAGTTATTACTTCTTCAGAACATTGTTTGCATTCTTCACACCCCTAAGAAGTCCTTAGATCTTAATTTGGCATGAATTCGTTGAATTCAGCAAATAAATCCACTGGTATATCATTTCTCTCCAGAGCTGTAATAGTTTGTGTTGTTAGTTATCTCTCAAATTTGATAAAACGATCCCGGAAATTCAGAACTTAACCAAGCAGCAAAACGATGCTTGAAATTACCTCAACTCGAATGACAAACTGGCCAATCATGAGCGAGCGAATCGCTTGTTTATCTCATTCTTGGTCACTCAAAATACGGTCGTCTACAGTCTGCCTGAAATTATCCAGCATGCTAAAGGTCATTGATGGAGTGAGACGCTCAAAGGTCATTTTCGTCCATATTAGCCGGCCATGTTGGACTGCCTTTGCGTACCCGTTCGTTTACACATCGGTTTTCCCTTCTATCCTGCATTTATTCACAACTTATCTTGATGTGCATTGTTCACAAATGTTGCGTTTCACCTCATTTTTGTTTCCGTTGCTGTTAAAATTACTAATTTCGTATGTTTCGGAAGTTTTTACCACCAGGGCTGTGCATTCATTCCATTACAATTGTTTCACACGTTGTTTTCACGCCTGGTTGCAATGTTTTAGTTGTTTTTCAGCTACTAATGAAGTATTTCTGCGTGGAAGTTTAGGAAAATATGCACGTGAACGTGTTAAGCTGACAAAAGCCGTTGTTTTTAGTCCATTTGCTGGTTGCCGTTATTTTTTCTTGCTCAACTGATTAATTGGTTTGTAGATATCTGGAAAAAGCAATGTCTTTCACATGCATGTTTTAACAGCTTGCAACAATCTGCGAGTCAATCTGGTGAGGAGAATACGATCAGGTTTGATATTGGCGAGGTTTGCGAAGAGCATATTAAACCTGGAGATTTCAGAACGTGGTTTGAAGTTGAAAAAGCTTTGAAGATTTCCGAGAAGCTGAGTATACCATCAGTGTATATTATCAGTTAAAGAATCTATGTCATAAAGGTTGAGTCACATGAGAAGTATGAATCTGTTGTGCCTGTATGTAGTTTTGGAACTGAAGGAAACTTGAAAGCAATGAGAAACCCCTGAATAGTAAATGTTACGTATCCTTATTAATGTCCAATGTACTAGATCTAAATACATAAACTAAGACCGCCTGTAGCAAAGCCATTGTTAACGGCCATTCAGTGCGTTGCAAAACCACTTCAAAGGCGAATAACATGATGATCTGGTGAGTGTACGAACTATCCCAGTTAAAGGTGAGACTTTAATTAGCGAGAATAACATTCGAGTGGTGGTCTACAACAAGCTGAGGAGCTGATTATTATTCGGGGTGAAAATATTGGCTGAATACAGATTGCTTGTTTCATTTCAAGTAATGAAATTCCTATTTTGTGATTTTTCCGTGGCTATAAACACGGATGCTCATGGTCTTTAAAAGCTAAATAAATTTTCCTGAAACCATTGGTTCTTTTTCTTGGTGAAACATCTGTTAATACTATTGGAAGATTAGGTAGCAAAGTAGGATTTTCTGTGATTAAGAATCGTTGTCGTCGTGTTTCGGATTAATATCGCGCTCGTAACCGTTATAACCCTATGGATATAGGTTTTTCATCATGGTACATTATGATATCTAGAAGTCATAAGCATGCCGTCTTCGATAAATTTATTCTTACTTTTTAAGTGACTGCAAATAGTGAGTTATTTGAGGTGATAGGATGAATACCTCTAAACGCTTTCGTGAAGATTAGGATATATTCATTTTTTCGACTAGGAGACGATTTTTTTACGAAGAAGGTTCCCAGGATGTCCGCTTTTACTTTGAAATTCAAAGATAATGTTAAGTTGCTCAGTAAGGTAGTAGCTAAGGGTGAATACCTTCAGCAGAAACCACTTTAAGGTAGCTACGTAGCTTTAGGTAATGAGTCATAGAAGTAAGCAGCGTAGGTTAATTGTGTCCAAAAATATATTAAACGTTGTATAACTGGTCAAATCATAGCTCTTACATATTTGTTAGTCTTATAAATAATGAATGCACCGTACAAACGTTTACTTTGATTTGCATACCTAGCTCATATGCATTATACTCGCATGTGGTACACATTTAAGTCTGATACGCTGTGTGCTGAGTTCTGCGAGACATGGTTGTATCATGATTAAAGCAAGAAAAACAGGTCAAGTATAGGTAAGATGCTTGGACGGACAAACTGTAAGAGGAGGGGATGAGTTATGCTTGAGTGCCTTAACTTCATAATGTGAACAGTCAGACGAAACATTACTTTAGAAATCGCTTAGACATGGGAAGACCAGGATTGGCCAGAAGAAAGAATTAATCCAAGATACTTAACGTCGGACTTGATTTCTATATCACTCATAAATTATACAACGGTTATGGGAATCAACCGCTCCGTTTAAGTTTCTTTTACATCCAAAACTGAAATTAACTGCCTGACATTTGGAAGGATTTAGTTTAAGGCCTTTAGACGAAGACCATTTGCTAATTCCTGATTGAAAGCTGTTCATTTTAGTACTGTTTAGCTGGGAGTTGACAGACACTGAAATAGTTAGATCATCAGCGTACTTAACAAAGTAGATATTCAAACACTGCAGTTGTTGATCATAGAAATGATGGATATCACATGATTTAACAGCATATCAGAAATAAATAAAAATTGTTTCTTAGCTCATCGCCAAATAGACAGTCTGTTTGAGGATGCCACTGCATATTAACTGATTCATGAAGTAGATGTCAACCCTAATTTCCTACATTTACCTGTGCTACATACTTGGCGTTTAGCAGTATACAGACTTGCAATTGGCTAAGTAAGGCGACTTTAGCGTAACGAACATTACGGAATTATTATTCAACTTGCTAAATACTACTTAGTTTTTGCAATGTACTATTGTATAGAAACAGACGCGAAATCCTATGAATGACTCAAGTAAGTCTCATACTATAGTGAATCTCCATTTGACTAACTAGCATGCGCTAAACCGAATTCACGTATTACAAGAGCTCATAGTATAGCAACGCGCTGAAGAAGTTCAAAAGAAGTAGAAATGATGAGTATATTAAACATTTTCTTAATTTACAGAAGAAAATTTTGATGAATGGTGTTAGCGTTGGTTTGACAGGTTGACATTTTCACTGACTTCACATTCCACAACCTCCATATACCTAAAATATGAAGCAAAACACGAATTTATGAAAGATGATTTTATATATTATTATACACCGATTATATTAATACTAAGTAGATTTCTCACACAATTAAAAGTACTTGTAGTCCACAGCTGGTCTTTATCTTGACGCCGTATGCATAAATAGACCTCATAAGTTGTCCAGCATTAGAGGACTACACGCTAATTTCAAGATAAACTCTTAAACGCCCATACTGTTGAGACGTCATTTTCTCATCAATTTCATACTGAATACGTCTAAGTTAAATGAGGTATTGCAGATATGTAGCTTTGAAATTGATCCATAATCTCAGTAATGTCTAGTGAGCATAGTTTTCTAAGTCCTACAGAAATACATTCTCATATTTAGGAATCTGTAGTCATCAAATATAAGCTGAACATGCCTCAACTCTAAGCAACTATGCACAGTGTTAACAACATAGAGAAACACTTAAAATATTGTAAGATACGCAGACCTGTTGTGTTGATGAGGATAACAGTGAAATATAATGCAACCTAGACATTCAATCGTGATACTGCATCTGTCCTGTTTCGGGTAAATGGAAATTTCAGAAGAAATCCATCTCCACTATTGGTGATCGAAAACATTGCAGTATTAAGTTTACAGTGTCAGACGGTATACCGTCTATAGATTAATAATAATAGAGCTAGCTAGATTTAATTCTCGTATTCAAGACAGGGCATGTGTATATTATTACTATACACTGAATAATTGCACTAAGTGAATCAATGAGGAGAATTAAACGAGTTATTGCCTTCTCAAATGCACTGCACTTGCAAAATCATGAGAACCACCTACGTTTGTTAGCCCAGAAGCAGCTAAGCACACAATGGCACAATATTAATAAAGGTATCTTTTATACATTGAAGTCACATAGCCCATATTATACTGCGCCAATCAGTGTAAATATATATATTAAATCCACTTAGAGATAACCTTTCAACTTACCATTTATCCAGTCCAAACACACATATGGTGAAAGACACATCTACATCATAACTTCTCTTTCCACAGGGGGTTCTGTTGGTATTTGTAGGTGATTCCCATGTATTGATAGCATTCTTTTGCAAAATAGCACTGTTCTTCCCACGAAAATAGCCACATTTAGACGTGGTCTTCATTGAATATTATGTCGAAAGCTGCAGCTTCTACAAGAAGCAAACTATTTGTATAGACGACACTACTCTCCAACTACCCTATCTTTTTCATTATACTGATGTTTTAACTCATTCAGCATGAAAAACTAATCGTTACAACCCATACGCATAGAGTGCATCGCAGTTAGATTACATGACGCGGACGCCAACATAACTAGCCAGGAAAACAGAATTCTTATCGATTCAGAAAACACATACGAAAATTTTAAGGAAAATTATTGACAAATAAATTTACCGAGCGAAATTTAACCAACATGCCGGATAAGTCCAGCCATGTTTAATTAGTCCCAGTAACACTCCAGTTGCAATCAAGTGGCGAGACGAACTCCGCAAAAGTTAACTGAAGACCAGGAACCTTTAACTCACAACCAAGAAGACAGCATAAAGAAATTGAAATGGTCTACACTAGCTCGCAGAAACGATATTGGATATAAGGGTCACATTAGTCAAACACATAGAAGCGCTATTTACGAATAAAGTGTCTACACAGGTAGATCTGGATTTCCTGTAAGATAATGTCGTTAAAGTTGGAGGTATGAATATGGAATATAGATATATGGTGTCTAGACTGAAAGGGAGCGCAAAAGTCTAATATTTAATAATTTTATATTTCTTGCGTATATACCATATATATGTATATATAACGTAGGAAATGCCAGCTGTATCTCTGATTGTGAGGAAATGTAGTTGTTCATAGATCAGAAGTCAGTGATAGCGAGTAGTTTACACTGTATTATATTTGACAGTGGAAACGCACTGTTATAGTGAATGAGGAAGCAGTTACTGCTCTCATAAGTCCCCACACAATAAATCTGGCTGGTATCCAATATCCTGATGACGAGCTAGTATAAACCAGTGATTTCTTTGAGCTCGCTTCTTGATTGTGAGGTAGAGGTTCCAGATCTTCGGTGAGCTTCTGCGTAGTAAGTCCCGACACTCGACTGCTTTAGCTCTGGTAGACTCCAGGAGGAGTGGTGCGGGGATTGGTCGAGATGTGGTTTGTAGTATGCAGTATGTTAGGACTGTATTGCTGCCGTGAATGGAGTTTGACCTAACTCCCCTTGGTCATTCGGTGTAGTCATAAAAGCAGAATAGTAATAATAATAATAATAGGTTGTAGTGTAGATAATATAGGTTGAGATAAGTGGAATAATAAAGGTGACCTAAGGAAAAGATAGAGTGAGAGAAGGCAGAATAGGTCGTGGGGATTTAGTTTGTACGCTTATTCATTGACAGTTTGGTTTCAAATTTTATGAGGATAAGCCATTGAGACACAAACCTTGCATTTCTGCATGATTGTCTAGCTTCCGCTTAAAAATCTCCAGAGATGGCGCTGTAGTCACGGCCGCCGGTAAAGCGTTCCAGAGACGGCAAACACGAAGCGAAAAGAAATGTGATCGCACTCGAGTCTTTGGTCTCTGGTGTGCTATCCTTAGCGGGTTACCTCGTGGAAGCCTATAATCGCTTAATGGCAGGATGCTTTTATTTGGGTGGGCCTGGTCATTTAGGATCTTGTAGACGGTGATGAGGTCTCCCCTGTGCCTACGGTAACTGAGTGTGAAAAGACCTAATTTCTTTAGTCTTTCCTCATATGATTTGTTGCGGAGGCCGATCACCCATTTTGTCGCTCGTCTCTGGACACTTTCTAGAATGTTAGCATCCCTTTTGAGTAGCGGAGGTGCAATGATATTATGCACCTCAAGGTGTGGCCTCACATATGCCTTGTATAGCCTTAAGAACAGTTCGGGAGTGAGAGCTCCCAGCTGCCTGTGCATAAAGTGTAATGTTGCGTAGGCTTTGGCGACGTCCCTCGAGTAATTTCCACTGGTGTCTAGCTTTTCTGTTAGAATAAGACCTAGATCACGCTCTGATGGAACACAACTCAAGTTCTGGCCACCAAGGGTGTAATTTACACTCTGTGACCTGCCGGAATGAAGCTGCACTACTTTGCACTTCTTTAGATTGAAAGGCATTCCGTTAGCCAAAGCCCAATTTCCCAGAGTTTGCAGGTCAGCCTGCAATCTATCTGAGTCTTCCGATGAGTTTATTGCTCTCCAAATCTTTACGTCGTCAGCGTAAAGAAGCGCAGAGCAGTTTAGTTGGGGGGGCAGGTCATTGATAAAAATCAAAAACATCAACGGCCCTAGGATAGAACCCTGAGGAACCCCTGATGCCGAGGTGTGCCAAGATGATCGGATGCGGTTGACTTTGGTGCAGAATTCTCTCTCGCCTAAGTAATCTGTCAGCCATGCGAGAAGTGCTCCAGAAACTCCCGCCTTGCCTATTTTGTGAAGGAGCAGACCATGGTGAACTGTGTCGAATGCTTTCGCAAAGTCGAGAAAGATCACGTGGGCTGGTACCTTTTTGTCCCAGGATAGTGTCCAATCGTTCCAGGCTAGTAGAAGATTCGTCACGCAGGATCTTCCCCTCCTGAAACCGTGCTGTGCTTCGTGAAGAAGGTTAGTCCCATCGAAGTATTTTCTCATGTGGTCGTCAATGAGACTTTCCAATATCTTCGATACCACTGGAAGTAGAGCAACTGGTCTGTAACTGGTCACATTCTGCCGGTCACCACCCTTGAAGATAGGGGATAGGATTGCACGTTTCCATTCACATGGAAGTTTCCCTACATCAAGGGAGTGTTGGAACAGATCACTTAGGGGTTGACAGAGACTTTCTGAACACTGCTTCAGGACAGATGGTCTGATGCCATCACAACCTGGAGACTTTCCCGAAGCCAACCTTCCCAATTTTGCAAGTACCATAGCCGGGGTAATTTGAAATGTCCCCAGCAGGTTTTCGTGTGTTGGTTCTGCGATGTAATCTGGATGTTCTGTAGGGGTAATATCCTCGTTACTATTTAGTTGCCTGTGAAAGGCTAGGCTGAATGTCTCTGCCATTTCAAGACTAGTAAGAGATTTCCCATCAGAACCCACTAGATTGCATGCTCCCTGGTTGGTCGGTTTTCTTTCGGCCATAAACCTGTATAGGCTTTTGGGGTTCACGAGAAGCTTATTGGCGAGGTCTCCCTGAAATGTCCTTCTATCGCTCCGGACTCGTATGTTACATCGATTCCTGAGTTCAAGGTACACTTCATATTCGGGTTGACTCTTCGATCGTCGCCACGCGAACCAGGCTTTACGCTTTGCCTGCAGAAGGCGTTGTGTCCCTCTTTTCAGCCATGATCGTTGCTTCCTAGCTTTTGGTGAGACTAAAGGAACAGTGTCTGAGACCGCCTGGTGAATGATCTCCTTTACCACTCTCCAGTGTTCTTCTACTGTTAGCTCTGTCCATTTTTTAGGCCAGTTTGCTTCAGACAGAAGTCTTCGCATTTTGGTAAAGTTGGCTTTGTTATAACACAGATAGGGCTGTGTATTGTCCCACTGTAAGCGCTCGCGGAGGACTATGTCGAATACTATGACCGCGTGGTCACTACTACCTATGGGAGTCGTGATCTGAACGTTTTCCACTAGTAGCTGGTCACTAGTGAGCACGTAATCCAGTCTAGAAGACTTCCCATCAGGGCCCCATCTAGTATCCATCTTGACATTTTCAGTGAATCCAGCCTTCCTGATGGTATGCAGCAGATTTCGATCAAATCTATCATGGGCTTTTCCCGACACCAAGTTAAGAGATGGGGCATTGAAGTCACCAGCTATGACAATTTGATCATAACCCATGTCTTGAGTCGCTGAAATTGTATTTAGCAGTACCTGGTTGTGGTCTGCTCCACATGAAGGTGATCGATAAATGCTGCCCACTAGATATTTGCAGTACCCAACGGTGAAGTGGCACCATATGGAGTCAGGGAGCTCTGTGAGGGGAGGGTCCGTCGCGTGAACACATCTGAGCTGTTTGTCGACGTATATGGCGACTCCACCTCCTTCTTTCAGGTCCCTATCTCGCCTGACTAGGACCATATCATTTATACTGACTTCGCTGTCTGCCACCGTAGGGGTTAGCCAGGTTTCCGTCAGTATTATGATTTTGGAGTTTAGTTGTGATTGTAGGTGTCTAAGTTCAGCTATTTTGCCTCTTAGCCCTCTCACATTACTATACAGGCAACTGGTAGTCAGTCTCACCACTTCCCCGTATTGGGGGGTAGTTGACTTGATATTGGCTATCGGTTGAGGAGTTATCCTACGAACTAGTTGGCCGATTCCCCAGGAACCGGCCTGTTGGCGTTTTTTTCTTCTAGTTCAGTTGGAGCACTCGGATGACACTGGCTATCATCGTCCGTGCTGCACCGCTGTAGTGTGACTAGGGGTTGAGGATTTTCTTTTACTACGCTTTGTTCTCTCCTTTGAGTGCGAGGCCGGCTCTCGCAGCAGCGAATGTGTTTGCTGACCTTGTCCTTGGTCTCGTACCATCTATGGAGAGCGGTAGTCAACTGGTCTTGGGAGCTGAACTTGACAGCTAACAGACGTGGCGAGTTAATTGACATAAGATGAGTGGGTCGAGGCAGTCTATAAATAGAGACAGCCCCTGAACTTCCCAGGGCCATCTGGGATGCTAACCATCTCCATTGTTGTACATCATGACAATGCTTTTCGCAGGCGTTCCCAGTTACCAGTTCGGGAATGCCATGCACAACCATGGAGGCAGAAGGAATGAGCTCTGGCGACTCCCTCGCCATTTGTCTTTCCTTCCACGGCCTGTCTGGCTTAACACGTATGTTACAGGCCCTCCCTATAGAAAGGACTTGAGAAGCCAGTAACACTTTTTCAACATCCTCGGTAGAGCTCAATGTTACCCTCAGTGGGGATGGTTTGCCTTCAGGTGCAGCAGTGCCCCTATACAATCTGCATAGATTTACTGGTTGGATGTCCAAACCCAGTGTGCTACTTAAGATGGACCACTGTTCCTGATCAAATAGGGCCCTATCTTTCAGCAGACTACTGCTACAGTCTGGTACATTAAAGAGGATTACACAATTTGATCTGCTAACCGTGGGCTTGGGCTCGGTCCTCGCACGTTTGTGATCACCTTTAAGACCGTTTTGGTTTGACTGGTGCGACTGGGTATTTTTATGTGTCTCAGTGCTATAGCCAGCATTACTGGTAGACGGTTGGGGTCTTTTTCCAACGACGGAAACCCGTGGTTCTCCAGCCTCTGTGTCTGGAGCGGTTATGGCAAGAGTTACAAGTTTAACCGGTGAGGATTTTGGTATCCCCGGTTTACGCGCGTTTGTACTAACTTCCGGATTGGTGGGGGTCGAGCTTTTCACCTTTTTCCCCGCTACTTCTGTGCCATCTTTAGTTTTCAAAGGACTACGCGAGGCTACATCAGGACGGCAACTCGGGCATATGTACCAGAACCATTGGCATGGGTTTTTACGCATAAAGTCATAATATGCTTTTGGTACCCCACTGTCGCATCTGCAATGCACCCATCGGTTGCAAAAGTTACATTCGAAAGCAGAGTCTGCTTGTTCGACAACAGAAGCACAGACCTTGCAGTCGTCTGTCTTCTTGGGGAGCGTTCTTGTCGTCTTGCGACGTCGTGAACGTTTCTTTTTGGCCTTCCTATTTGTTTCATGGTCTACCATGGGGATGGGTGTTATGAAGTTCTCACTTAGTGCAATTTTCCCACTCGGATCTGTTAACCTAGTCGTGTTAACAGGGGTGGAGCCACATCCACTTGGCTGACTTTGCACAGCTTCACTGTAGGACTGTGGCGACATGGGTAATCTGTACGAGCTGGGAATATTAGCCCTGGTCTTCAGGACCGGTATGCGTGAGTCCATCACCTTCTCCTGTTTGCCTAGTTTGGCTGAAGCCCTGGTAACTACAGAGTATGATGTCCCATTACTTATTTTAGGTTGAGAATCTATTGTCATTTTACTCCTAAATTAATACTGGTGATTAAATAATAAGAGACTGTTATTTTGTCCAATAGACTTACAGCAAAAGACAATAGAGAGCACAGAAAAGAAGGATAAAGTATTTAAGTAAAAGCTTTAGACTTTACCTGTAACTTTCGGGTTATTCGGTTTCACAGCAATCACGTAACAGACCCACAAGTCCTGTATATTTGAAAGAGTGAGGAGGGTGTTGCTACAGAAGTAGCACCTGAAGCTTTGGCAGTAGTTCGAGACAGCGGGAAGTACCACACACAGGCTCGGTGAGGAAGAAATGGTTGAATAAAAATTCGCCGGATAGGAAGATCAGGTTTCCCAAACGAATAATTCACAAAATTGGATATTTCCGGTTAGGGAGAAAAAGCACGTCTTATGGTAGCTTGGCACATGAAAGATTCTTTCGGGATAATTAAGTTTAAAGAAACGGACAAACGGTTTTTAAGCACTCAGTGTTTTTGTTTCTATATTCATGTGAGACAGACGTTCAATGCGGTAACAGATGGTTTATGATACCATAAATTTTTATCCGTTACCTATGTTGATTCACTATTTCTCCCTACAAGATTTTTTAGTAGCGTCACATCTCATTAGGAAACTGCTAAAATTCTCAAGGCCAAAACTGGTTGTCTTGTAAAGACTTGTCGACTTTTTCATTGGGACCTAAAAGAAAGTCAAAAATTTCCAAAAGGTTTGACTGGCGTAATATAAAAGCATTCAGTTACAGATGGTTCTTTTTGGTTTGCATATCCCAACTACGTTGTGCTGGCGATATAACGAAATTAACGTTGAAATACGTGAATTCTTCCAATGGGGTAAAACAGGATTCTTGTGAAGTTAAATACTCCATCTTGCTGGTTTGATTCTTTAGCGTGTGTATGCAGATTAGCTAAGAATAAGTTTACTTTTGAAAGATAACACGTTATGAAGTATGTTCCTTCATTTTCTGTCGGACTTCGTGGTGTCACATTTCACTGATTCTTTCACGGTAAGTAGAAGTGGATTCTGAGACTTAAAATCATTGTGTAGGTCTTTTTGTCAAATGGTGTATTGCCTGTTGCCAAGCTATATCTACATAACTCTTTTTATTCCTTAACGTTTTCAGTGGAACATAGCCCCATGCCTAAACTTCCCTCTTTACAAGCCTTATTATTGGCTTAGTGAGGTGAAGGAATGCGTCGGTTGGGGATCGAACCCCGAACGACATTCGCGGATGGCGAGCATTCTACCGCTATGCCACCGACGCACATCTACCTAACTAGAACTAGAGAATTTTTGTCCATTTTACCAGCTTAACACCATAGTAGAGCGATCAGCGAGTGTGTTCAGCTAACTGAATGGCCAACTTTTACACTGCATTAGTTGAAACATCTCAAAAACAGACGAATTCGGTATCGTAATGATTTTTAATCAAATTCCGCTCATTATTAATTGACATGATTATGAATAAATTGTGTTCAAAATGTCATCCAGTAAATAATACTATTCCACTGTGACACAACTGATAAACAAATTAATATAATTAAGTTCTGTCTTATTAACATTTGTTTGTCTTAGATTCGTATCTGGAAATAAAAGGAGGGTCAGAAAACTTCTAGTAATCGTACTATATATAAAACTAAGAAAGTGTGAAAGCATCTCCAAAGTTGCGCTTGTTCAAGACGCTACATTTTTGTAGCAGACATTTATGAATAAAGCAAATCAACAGTTATAATTCAACACAGTACCCACAATTCTTATTCAGGTAAAGGTTGAGTACGTCTGTGTGGCATTAATTTAGGTACTCTAACTTCAGGCAGGGTCCTGCATTCATGTACTACTCCGTATGATTTAGACTGAAATCAGTCTGTAACATAACCGCTGATATCTTAAGTGAGACCAAGTACATAAGCATGAACCTGAAACTCATGCGTTGCCACATATGCTACTTACAATTCTTAGCTACATACAGAAAGAATACAGTTAGCAAAACCTTCGTTCTGGTGTGTGAACTTGTTCATGTTGGCGTTATCGGTAGGTTGAGCATACATAGGTGCATTTTATGTGAAGATTAAATTTCATCACCAGATTCGATGATATCTCTGACGTTAACTTCATTAAAATGTGAGGCGTATACCCAAGTTCCAAAAATATTTAAGTATTGTTTTCCTATCTTTTAAACATATTTAATTGTATTTGAGAGAATTCCGTTTGTGACAGACATTGACTCACTTCTCAATCACTACAGTCCAAAAATATACTCACTGGGCTTTTCCTCCTTGTGACAGTTAATACAGACAATAAAGTTTTTTGGCAATAGATGTCCGTATTTTATAATTGGAGAGAGCATATCTGAATTCAGTTTTGATAATCTAAAAAATCTAAGCAAACTTATCGTTCTGCTTTCGTTATGTACCCATTCATTGTTGATTGAGACCATCTTCAACTCTTGGAAAGGGTAAATTACTTCTCTATGTGCTATTGGTGTGTATAGCCAGACTGTGGATATGCGAAGCACAGCTTTTTCTTTTTAATATGTTGAGCCACTGCTGTCGGACATTTTTACGAATTCAACACATCCAGTTGAGTTGCGTACATATATACTCGATGTAAATGTTCTTTTATTCTCTGATTTTGCTGGTATTAATGGCCAATGCCTTCCTACTTCGAGTTTAAATGATTTTAGCTGAGTCGCCTACAAATATGCACGTTAGTTGGCCCAATTTTAACTGTCATGTTTAGAATATCAGTACAACTAATGAATTTACTTGCTCTACAACCAAGTTTACAGATACTAAGAAAATGTATCTACTCACTATTGTAAATAAACAGCTCATGTTTCGCACCACTACCACACTGTCAAGGAAAGCTCTGTTTCCTAATCTTGGTATTTTTCTATCAACTGTCAGCCTTCATTACTTCGAAAAACTTGTAGATATCTTGGATAGTCTGTAAAACATTCGTAAAGAGCTTCCAGACCAAGTAGTACGACTTACAGAATTGTAACACTGTACTGTGAGTGTTTCAATGTCTTGATGTCCTTTATGCTATCGTAAAACGTTTGAGGTGCGTGCTGTCTACTTCGGAGTTGTGCCATTATAATTTCTGCTGTTGGTTCTAGAGTAGTCCTAACAAAAACAGCTTTAGAATTGGGTATAAGTAAAAATCAGTCACAATTTCAAGCGGTAGGAAAAGTGGCGTCTAAGTATCCATGCAGCTTGTAAATATACTCCCTTCATAATGAAGTTAATGCTCAGGATATAAGTATAAAACTTGGGCACTGTGGTAGAGTATAACTCCATTATGGATAAGATTTTATTTTGATAAATCACACACAGTGTTGTACAGTTATATTAACTGATATAACTGTACAACACTGTGTGTGATTTATCAAAATAAAATCTTATCCATAATGGAGTCAATGCTCAGGACCCTGCCAACCCTGATGATGAAACACCCACAGTCGAATACCAAAGATCGCAGAATATGAGAGTTTTCATCGTTATCCTGGTATTTCATCTCATTAATACAAAGATTGACAAAATACTCGGTTTCAGTTGTCACTAGTATGTAAAGTAGTTGCACCTTCTTCTTGAGCAGAAACAACTCCCTACCTATAAGAGTTTTTTACTTTGACTTAACTGTTGGCAGGTCTTCAAAAAGTGGTCTTAAATGTACTAATGTATTCGTTTACTTGCACAGTATTATTTAATCCACACTTTCCTAAATGTATCTGTTACATGCAAATGAACTTATAAAAGATGATGAGTTAAGTAGTAATAGCACTGAAGTTGAGCTGGATATACCTCAGGTCCGAAACCCCACTCCACATGCCGAGTCGTGTTACAACCCCTCAGACAATTGGTACGGCTTATTGCTAAGTGGATATATATGCTGGCTATTACTGAGATACTTTTCATTTCTCAGTCTAATTCACCATTTCCCACTCATCGCCGCACTTGAAAACCGAAGGGGTATGAAAGAGAGAATGCAGCAGTGTATTAAGTATATTTGTAGCTAGTGCTCATACAATAATAGTTTTAGACTTGGATATTATTTTGGGTAGCATTATTGTTTACTGTCACATCAGACATTCAGATTTTGTATTCAGAATAATCCTGTCGTTTCAGCATTAAGTAAAGTACCCAAAGGCTTTATCTGTATTCATAGGGAAAATCCAGTTCAACTTCAGTGTTATTACTACTTAACTCATCATCTTTTATAAGTTAATTTGCATGTAACAGATATATTTAGGAAAGTATGGATTAAATAACGCGGTGTCAACAGTTGAAGATAGGACTTCAGATGAACACAGAGAAAAGAGAGGTGATAAGGATTCCTGGCCAACAGCACCAAAAACAACAACGGACAGCAATCATCATGAATGGGAGGAATTTGAAAGAAGCAACCTCCTTTACCTACGGATCTGGGAAGCATCACTCCAACTACAAGCGGAGCTGATTGGAATATCGAAGCGAGGATCGCGAAAGCAAGGCAAGCCTTCATTACTCTCAAGTCTGTGTGGAGATCAACAGAACTCAGCATGAAAGATATTCAACTCCAATGTGGAGTCAGTGCTACTTACTATATGAATCAGACTTAGCGCGTCGCGAAGGTGACTTCAAACAAACTACAAACCTTCATCAATAGTTATCTTCGCTCAATACTGAAGATCGGATGGCCAAAAAAGATCAACAACAAGGATCTCTGGGAGCGAACGAACTGGGAACCAATTGTGCAATAAATATGCAGGAAGAAATGGAGGTGGATTGGCCATACTCTGAGGAAACCATCAAGTGATATCACTGGACAAGCCCTCGAGTGGAACTTGAAAGGGAAGCGGCGAGTTGGTCGTCCAAGGGTGACTTGGAGGAGGTCATGTGAAGAGATGAAAACATGTGAGCAGACTTGGGTCCAGGTGAAAACTTTAGCAGAGAACCGAACGCAATGGAAACGTGCGGCTAAAGCTTTATGTTCCTCTAGGAACTAAAGGAAATAATAACAGTTGAAATCAAAGCAAAAAGGGCCTCGTAGGTAGGGGTTGTTTCTATCAAGAGGAAGATTAAAGTACTTTACATTCTAGTGACAATTTTAAGTTGAGTATTTTATCAATCTTTCTAATGGTACAGCGCCTTTGTTTTCATGTTTTAACTTCATTTTTATTTAAACACTGACAATTTCCATTGTTTTTTCAGGTCATCAATTCATCCATAATTCTGGTCTAGCAGTACGTGTAATGTTTGATAAAAAATGTGTTCACTTGTGCTACAAGTACCTTGATAAGGTTGTACGTCTTTGTCAGCAGCCAAAATTAAACTTGAAAATCAGTCCACCTTATATCTTGGATATTATTCCGGACATATATGAGAAGTTACAAGGTATCACTGCCAGTTACGAAGAAAACTATGATGTTCTTTCTCAGATAGAATACTTCCAGATATACATTTCAACAGTGATAGAAAAATGTGAGCAGACTATCAATCTGTTCAAGAATTCTAAAGAGAAGATATTCGACACTAATTCAGATGCGCGCTTTCGCCTGGTTAAGCTGTCACTTGTGTACTCCCACTTACTCAAAGACCTTGAAGCTCTATTTCCACACAATATTTTTACCTCAACAACTTTCCGAATAACTAAACCAGATGCAGCGCGCTGGTGGCTGTCTAATTTTGATAATAGTGCAATAGTTTCATGGCAATTATTCAAACATTCTCTACTTCAAACATTTCGCATAGATTCAGAGGGTCAATTGTCGGCCCTGCAAACAACAATAGACATTACCTGCAATGATTATGTATCTATTTTCGAATTTGACGTATTCACCAGGTTATTTCAACCATGGTGTAATATACTTGAAACGTGGAAAGCTTTGGCTATTTTGCATCCCGGTTATATGGCGTTCATGACATACGACCAAGTTAAGACAGTTCTTAAGCGTTACTGTACTCATCCTGGTCCGGGAACATACGTCTTCCGACTGTCATGCACCAAATTGGGCCAATGGGCTATTGGTTATATAACTCAGGAGCTTAAGATACTACAAACTATAATACAGAATAAATCCTTGGCCCAAGCACTAGTTGATGGAGAAAAGGCGGGATTTTATCTGTACCCAAACGGAAAGCCTAATCCAACTACACTGCTCTTTCACCTAACACACAATCTCTTACAAGTTCATTTACAAGTTACCAAGGAACAGTATCAATTATATTGCGAAATGGGTTCGTCTTTTGAGTTATGTAAAATATGTGACGAAAATAATAAAGACACACAACTAGAACCATGCGGTCATTTGATATGTAAACATTGTCTCCGTAATTGTCAATCCAAAGGCAATGGTCAAACTTGTCCATTTTGTCGACTAGAAATAAAAGGAATTGAAGAAGTCGTTGTTGATCCTTATAAACCTTATAGTACAACAAACTTTAAGAGCGTTGAACCGATAATGCTTTGTCCTCGACCACTACTTCTTTTCGAAAACACCAATAAGACAATGGACATCCCTTCGTATCGTTCTATGAATGACTTGTGTAATACAATGGATTTTCCATCAAACTCCTTAGTGACAGAACCGCCACCCATACCACCAAGAAATTTATGTCTCACTCCAAAAACGGACAAGAAGGAAGAATATGAATGTAAGCTCCGAAGTAGTCACACCACTATCTCATCCATCGGCTATGGAGCTGAAGTAAGTTTTTTTACGCCTAATTCGAATCCCCACACAAATAACCAGGAGCAGATTTCTGATCCATCTCAAATAAACAACATACATGTACAGACATCTGTTAGTTCCAGTGGTGACACACAATTAAGTTCACAAGGAGAAGCACTTCCAACGTCCTTGCGGATTGATGTTCAAACAAGTACGGGAAATATTAACCAAGCAAAAGATTTAAATTACACTCAGCTAGATTTAAAGAAATCGGAGTCAAGCAGCGACTTCGAAACTTTAATTCCCAATAAATCGAATGCAATGGAAGACCGACAAAACAACTCAGTATTTACAAATTGCCTTCCACATAAGTATTCAAACGCCACTTCCTGTTCTCCGTCAAACACTGATGATGATAATAATAAGGGCAACCGCCCTACAGATAATGTGATAACCACTGATGCACCGGACCATAGCATAATATTTATGACAATGAAATCTGTAAATGAAAATATAGAACAGTTGCTTAGTATGAATCCTGAGATGACAGAAGATACAGCGAAGCTTTTGCTAACTATAACAGATAATCATATTAATATATCACACGAAATTTGGAAATATTTTATGCCACGTGTATAACTAATTATTTGATTTCAGTTTTATATTGAATGCAAGACTAAGCCTCAAAAACAGCTGTGACAAAAATTTATATTCACTTGGTACTTTTATATTTTTGAATGCAAACAATATTAATAATCACTTCGGTTTTGTAGTGATTGTTTTGAATTCTAAAACTAGGTTATCTAATCTTACTGAACTTCGTAAAACCGTTCGCCTGATAAGCTATTAGTGGCAGTCACCTATTTGGTTTCTCCAGTCAAGAATATACGCGTACTGATGGATGTTTGGTAAAATAAGCAGTAATTTTTCTCATGTTTATCGTCTTAACCCGTGAAACGTATTAGAGATAATGGTCGTGGTTCAGAAACACAGGTAACAACAAGATAAGTTTTAATGGGTTATACTGCACTTGGCTACACTTTGTCCCCTCTGTAAACATCATCATATTACAATACAATGATGACATAAATTTAAAGCGTAAATATCATGTGAAAAGTAGATTTATATTAAATATCACAATTCACATATATTTCCAACAGGTAATTCCAACGTTTTGTTCAGTCTGCCTTATTCGCATGATAAGCAGTGGAGACTACTTTCAAGTAAACTGGAAGTGCAGTATTTTTCCAATAAGTAAATCCTCTGGGTAAACTTTTGTTCCGCTGTTTTAAAGATTCACGAAAGTAGATAAGCTGTCCAGATCCAACGGATAAAAATCGACTGGATTCATCAGTATGTTTAGTTGTAGACTCTTGACAGGGTTTCAGCAAGCTGCACATCTGATCTACTAGCTGATGACATGTTTCAAAACATAAACCATAATTATTCTCATCCATTAATTCACAGAGTGTTGGATAGCTGAGTGCCAAGACAGGTACATTGACACCAAACAAATCAACCACCTAAAAGATGAACGATTGTAAACGTAACACTTGAATATTCCCATAATTTATTCAGAACAAGATAGTTAGGGCGAACAATTGTTTTCAATAAATTCTTCGGGCTCTACAATTATGAATCCATTAATTTAAGCATACAATGGCCAGTAAAGGCAAATTAGAATCATATCAGAAATGTGTTGTGGAACAAGTATAAGATGGGATGCAACAATAGTCAGTTAGTTTTGAATATGCATAGTCAATGAGAACATGAGATAAAATAATTTAATGATGTGCGTATACATATGCATAATAGTAGTAGTAGTGATTATATTGTCTCACATGCCACTGATTACACTCGAAACCTGTATTTTTGGTGATTATATTTATACATGCATACTCAAAAATAACTGACTATTGTTGCATCCTATCTTATACTTGTTCCACAACACATTTCTGATATGATTCTAATTTGCCTTTACTAGCCATTGTATGCTTAAATTAATGGATTCATAATTGTAGAGCCCGAAGAATTTATTGAAAACAATTGTTCGCTCTAACTGTTTTTTTTCTAATTGTAAATGTGTTTGAAAAGTATGTAATGTCAGAAAACGTTTGAATGAAAAATTAGCACATTAACATTCCATTTCAGCGGTCTCGAAATCAAAACTTATAATATCCATAATAATTTTGCGCAGTAAGATACCATATTTAACATAAGAACGTCACTATGAAAGTCAAAAAGCGAAATATCATATAAGAGGCAAAGATAAATAAGATGAAGACGGCATTACCATTCAGATGGTAACAACACTATGAAAACATTTATCCCAATGCAAACAGTTCCTATCTATATCACCTAAAGTCCCCAGCTATCTATTTGTGTTTGTGCTGCAACGTATCCCCCACATCAAAAATTATTACGGCGTGCTCGTCTGCAACGTCCTTTCAATCTAGCTCTAATCCATCGGTATGTGGATATAATGCGTGATCCAACCACTTAAACTCGAAAGTTAACTCCCCTTTTTGAAATAAGTGTTGTTCTTGTATTGTCACATAAGGATTATAAATCATAGCTATACAGTAGAACAGGGTGCACTGCTGCCTAAATGGTTTTGGCAACATCGGGATTTTCTCTTTTCGATTCTGCAAGTTAAGCAGTCAACAACCTCAGACACTTTGCACCTTGTTATCCAGATAGGGTGTCCATGCAGACTACTTATCTAGTTGAGACAAACATATGATTCATGCTCAAACAAATGTAAGATTTCGCTTGATTGGAGCATTACTCCTTGAGACAACTACACCAGACACAATGTTAGTTAAATTATTTAATTGTGTTTAACAAAAGTAAACTAATATTTGTGAGTTTGAGGTTAAATTTTGATTGCAGTTCATGCAAATATTATTATTATTTTTTGATTCATGATTCATATGATTCGACAAAGCTGCTATAAAAATCCGGTGGTTTGTGAATCTTGCTTCTGTTTGACAAAGTCGTGTGAGTTTATTGATAAGCTTCCTAGTAGGAAGACCATATGTATTATTGATATAAGTATAAAACTTGGGCACTGCGGTAGAGTATAACTCCATTATGGATAAGATTTTATTTTGATAAATCACACAGTGTTGTACAGTTATATTAACTGATGATGTTTCGAGCACAAACTATTGCTCATAATCATATCAAGCTGCTATACATTATATATATATATATATATGTATATCACTTAGCACTCACTTTCATGGGTAAATCTAATCCCGAAGAACTTCGATGTATGCTTATTCCCAGGTCGGCACAACCAAGAAAAATAGGATAGTCCGACCATTCAAGCCAGGGCATGATAACTTCTACGTGTTTCCATTTTTTCTCCTTAACCAGTTTTTGGTAATAGCTTTTGAGTGGACCACGACCTAAAGAGTTGATAGAGTAGAAAACAGTAGCAGTTACTGTTTTTACTTGAGCAGATTAACAGACTGACAGATAATATTACAGATTATTAACATTACAAAACTGCAATGATGCTAATAAAAATCGTAACTTGGAGTACTCTACTCCGGTTACTCGAACTACAACCATAACTTACAATAATCACGCAAACCAGTTAGTATACGATTTGAGAGCCAGATGTCTGGAATACGTACAAACAGATTTCATCAAAACACGTATGGATACTGATATCGACATACAATCATTTACTGATTTAAACAAGCAAGCATTTAACCATATGCATACTTCGTGGTAAACTTCAGAATTATTAAATACAATAACACTCTTTGGAAGTATTCCGATGTGAACCAGGTATGCTCACCAAATAACTTAAGAATCTCAATGTACACAAAGGTTTATATCCAAAATGGCTGAACTACCCTTAATGGATGCCAGCACCATCCTTAGAATAGCGTTACTCATTTGATTCAAGTGCTATGGAAATATCAGTGTATTATACTTATTGCTTGACCTAAGCGACTATGCCCCCAAAACGCAGAACAAGATGTGTAGACTTCTTGATTATATATATATATATATATATTATCAGCAGGGCGGAAATTTGAAAATTTAAGAAAGCAAAGGGCTGTGAAACAAAAGCGTCATTCACTAAAGAATATTTGGTCACAATTACATCGTGAAAAGCGGCTTCATGTAAGAGGAGCGTTCATTAATAAATCTAAGAAACTAAACAGTAAGCAGCAGTTATGTGAAACATTAAAATAAAATCCGGTTACACACATGAGGGAAATTTCACCTGACAATGCTTAACATTCACAAACTTTATATAACCTTTGGTGACTAACTATTTTTGAACGAGAAGATTCCCGATGAACAGCTCTACCTTCAGATTAAGACTTGTTAAATATTATTTTTCCCTTGGATTTTGACTGCACTAGAAGACGTGCGTCGGTGGCACAGCGGTTGGGACGCTCGCCGACTATGCACATGGTTCGGGGTGCGATTCCCGGCCGACGCACTACTTTACCTCGCTAAGCCAGAAATAATGTTGGTAAGAAGGTTGGGCATGAGCCTGGCAACCCCATCCTGTAAAATGAACACTGCTAGAGAAACGTCTGGCCTCTAGCTTGAAGCCCTATGTTCCACTGGGGAACGTGAAGGAATAAAAAAAGAAGGCTTCGATAGTATATCTTTATTTCATCTTGCTTTCTGCGGTCCTCTTTAGCTATCGTCACAATCACCCATAAGCTCTCATCTCCTTACACGATCTCCTCATGTCACGCTCGGACACTGAACTCGTCGTTTCCAATTCGGGTTTCACTCGAAGGCTTGGCGCGTGATGTCACTGATAAAAGTCTGAAGCCTGTCCCAAACGTCTGTGATGCCGCTCACACCAAGTCTATGAACCACATAGAAGCACTGACTGACTTGACATTAATGTTGAGAATCCGAATCTTGTTGCTAATGCTGATTGTAGCAGATTTACGGACTGATTTCAGAGTAGTGAAAGGTTGTCTGGCATCCTCAACCGTTCCAGTTGTAGTGGAAACGATGCTGCTTAGATAGGTGGGAGAATTTCTATCGATACTAGTTGGTGCCTTTTGTTGTTGGTTAGTTATTTCCACCACTCTTGTCTCTTCCATGTTCACTTGAAGTCCTGTCTTCACTGTCGGCTTCTTCAGTCAACTTGTTGGTCTTCACCTTTAGAGCTTCGAGTTTGAATGACATTAGACATAAATCATTCGCGAAATCTAAACTTTGAGTATTCTCTTTGGTCCAGAGTATGTACGTCTTCTCACACTCCGTGACTGTTGTGGATTTCACTGACTGGTGCCTCTATGTTTTGGTTTGACCAACACGGGTACTGTTCCAACTTGATCCTGCGTCAGCTAACAGTACCTGTCGAAGAAAGCGAAAGCTAGGCATGCGCGCGTAACATATGTCCTAACTATCTCAAACGGTGCAGCTGCTTCACAGCCTCGTCGATTGATTTTCCCTCTTTACCTAGCACTCAGTCGACACCTAACCTCCACATTGCTCACTTTATTATACCAATTAACACGGGTGACAGAACGCTGATGTCTATAATCAGCTAGCCTTTTCATGTCTTTCACTTTCAATCAACGTCCATGTCTGACGGCCATAAATGAGGATAGAGCGAACTACTGAGCCTTTTGGCGTACGCCAAACGAGCATTCTGTATCCGTGCCGAGATTTTTTCGGCGATTAGCCCGTTGAGGCTGATGCAACTCCCCAAATAAGTGATCAACGCGCTCTACCACTTCAATTTTTAAGCTAGGAGTCAACGTAGTTCAGTCCTGTAGCATTTGACAGGAGCTAATCACACACCTAACATCCGAAAATTGCTGCTCCTAGAGGTGTTCAGAAGACTGCATTTTGTCAGCATCTTCAACAAGAAATTAACTCTAGGTAAAAAAATAGCACAATCGTGTACAGAACATAACATTCAGATAGGAAAGGATTGAAAGTATTATTTAAATGACAGACCATCATTCAATACAGATGTTTGATCAGTTTTCTGTTTTGTATATTCATATAAATGACTAAATGAATTATGCGGATAACAGATATTGATTATGCAAATGCTTAATATACGGTAATTCCAGGATATATTTATTATAAAACAGATAAGTTGTGATGCAACACACTCCGCAAAATGTGTTAAATTATAATACCTGTTACAGCAAACACGACATGGGGTAAACCTGAGTCAGACTGCTCCACAATCTCGTCGTAAATACATAATGCATCAATCACCAACCCAAAATCATCATCAGGTGTCCAACTGCAACTGCTGACAACCAGTGCTGGTCGATCAGGGCGCCATTTAGGTCCATTATTTTTGGAGTCAGATGGCAGAGCAGTCAATTCAGTAAAGCGCGTGAATCGACAGGAGCTCAATTCATCCCTGAAAACTTCGTATTGATTGCTTAGTCTAAAAATAAGAATGAAAAAATAATCAGAAAAGTAGTATTCTACGTTGACGAATCCACTGCACGTGACAAGATTTGATTAGAGGACTATACATTAGTGACTCACCAAGTTACTGGGCCGTGTGGAAGCAGTGACTCGACGTAGGTATTAAAAATTAGAACCTTGTTCAGAGCGCTGTAGATCTCCATACTGATTTCCGAATAATCAGCGGAAAGATTGCTTCTTTGATTCTGTGTGGCTTTGACATCGCCATCATTGCCACCTGTAGTTGAAACAATGTTGACTAAGTATGTGAAAGAGACGGCTTCCTTTATATCTCACTCATTGATAATGACTGGTGTCTATAATTGGGGAAGGGGGCATCTCTATCACCTCAGTGTTCATCTGTGATCCTATCTTCGCTACATCTGCCAGTTGGAACGTTTTTGTGCGTTAATCCTTGAGTTTATGCGAAATGACAGATGAATCATACACGAAATCCAGATCCTATAGGATCTTTTTTCAGAACAATGTATATTCATCCTTTTACTCCCCAAGGTCCGTCACGTGATTCAGACCACCACAATCAGGAAGATCAATCATAGCATGAACGGATTTTCCCGTATCACGTCCGTTCACGGTCAATATTTTGCCTGGAGTTGACAGAAGCATGATTACATGCTAGTTCTTGCCATGGTCTACCACATGACCCAGTGCGGCACAATAAGGAATATCATCAGTGATAGCGTACAACCTTGCCTTCCTCCCGCATTCAATTCAAACGCTCCTGTGAGCTTTCTGTCATGAATTATTTGGTGTGTAGTATCATCATATAGTTGTTGAATGGGGTTTATAAATGTTTGCGGGACTCAGTATTATTGAAATAGTTGCAAAATTACTTCGCAGTCGACGCTATCGACGATTTTTTCAAAGCCGATGAAGCTGAAGTGGAGATTTGGCTGCCACTCTAGGCTCTCTTCGTTGATGATGCGTGGTGTTGCACTTGATTGAATTATGACGCATATTTCTTAAATACATATTGTCCCGGGTGAAATCTTCCGTCTAAAGTATCTTTTAGTCTTTCCAGGATGACAGAGCCTATTATTTTGTTCGAGGTGTACGGGAACACGGTGACCCGCCAGTTTTCTCACAGGGCTAAGTCGCACTTCTTTAGCAGTTTGATAAGGTAGACTTTCAGTTGGCAGATATCTTCTCTCCCATACCTTCTGCAGTAGATGCAGCATGAGTAAAACTGCTGAGGTCTGTGGGCTAGTTTTCAGTTATCCTAGGGGCATTTCATCTGGTTGTGTTGGTTTCCCAGCTTTTAGTAACTTTAAAGCCTTCAGGGAGCTGGTGTTAACCGGTACCATCGTGTCCCCTGGTGGCATTTCTGGGAGAGTTGTAGGTTTGTAGATCCAAGAGTCCTCTGAAATGATCAGCCTGGCATTTCCTCTGTTCCACTGCCTTGATGATGCCATTTCTTTTCACTATTTCCACGTGCTTCATCTATTTTGATCTCTTACAGGATAGACAATCGGTTACTTGACATAATACTGTAAAATCTGTCTTACCTGCAGTCTGTTCTGCTTCAATTACCACTACTTCGCAAAAGCGTCTTTCCTAGCATTCTTCTTTCGGTGTTCTTCTATACAAGTTTACTTAATGTCTCCTATATCTTCCCGATGACAGACGTGGTGCCTTTTGTTACTCGGTCCTCCAGTGTTTAAGTGTTGAACTGCGGTCTATTATCACCAACTTTTTGAAGACTTTAAACTTGGTACCGAATTTACTTTTGCTCCTCTTCTTGATCTTGTATCTGTTAGGCTGAGACCCCACTTCCTTACTATTATTTTATTTTTAATTTTATTATAGCTTCATTCCACACAGTGCTTCGGTACAGCTATGAAATTTTCAGGATTTGATATCTGTAGCCCAAATTTTGCATGCCGATCATTGATATCAGGTGTGCGTCGGCCGGGGATCGAACCTCGGACCATGTGCACGGTCGGCGAGCGTCCTAACCGCTATGCCACCGATCCATTAGGATTTCGATGTTCCTACATAGCCACAGTCTTGTAAATTACTACTTGCAGCTGTCAGCAGACGTTAGTCTTCTTCTCTTGCTCTGAGTTGTTTGTAGGCGTGTAGCACTGGATAATTGCAAATTCACTTCCTTTGGAGGTGAATCTTGGTTTTATGATTCTGGAGGACATTGGTTTTCATTCCATAAGATACTTTGATGCTGTTGAGGAAGTCGTGCTAGCCACACGCTTGATGTTCTTGTGGATGTTATCTCGATAACCGGAGTAGATCGTTTACACTCCAGCTAACATTTTGGAGTCGACTTCTACTCCATCTGTTTTCGAAAAGTCATGAAACTTCTATACCATATCTTCTCACTTCTTCTGCAATCTGGACATCCTTGCCAGAGGACACTCTATGTCCTCAAGCTTACTTTTATCTTCATGAAAAGGAGTGATGTTGGTTGATTGACTGACCAGTTTCAACGTGAAACTTTGCACCGATGTGCAGCAGTTTGAGTCGCCACACTCCATGTAGTACACAATGCACGGGAAGGAAGTAAAAAGAGATGCGAAATAGAGACAGTAAACAGAAATATGAGGCATTTGGTTGACTGGATTCCCGAAGGCTCTCAACCGGCAGCGTCATCTGTCATCCAACTCAGGAATGTTCTCGATTCGAGAGGAGAATATGCTTGCTTTTTCCGTGCTGTAGTGGTGGGGTTTATGTTTTACGGGGTGGACGTCCGATTCTGCCACCCACACTCCCTTTTTTCCGTGTTTAGATTGTCTCGGAAAGTCTGCGGATAGGGCGCGAGAAATTAAATAGTGTGTAATAATAGCGTAGGTAATAAAACTCTTAATGATACTAAGAATAATAAAATTTACGGTATTGAACATGCCACTCAAACTTTTAATTTCCCATTACTACTATTTGTGGCGCGGTCTAATGTTTCCATGATGTATGCACTTAAATTCATAATCCCCGATGATAAATCAAAGTTCTTAAGAAGAAATCTCTTTATGATTTTAATTTTCATGACTGTAAAGTGTTATTTACGTTAAAATCACAAAAAAAACTTTGTGTTCGTTTGTATCTACTTATGTTCAAATGTTGGAAATAAATTAACCCCATGGAGAGTATTGTTAGTAATACAGTCATTCGAACTTAAGATTAGGAACAATAGAAGGCTTATGTACAATATTTTCAAAACAGTTAGTTTGACATTAAATTAAACAGAAAATGAAATTATTAATCATATAAATCGCTCTAAGTTATGAAACAATGTGACAAGTTGATGAGATGGGATGAAGTCTCTAAAATCTATGCGGCTACACTATAACAGACAGACCTAATAAAGCGCCTCGGTTCACAATCAACACCTTGGAAATGTAACCAATGTTTCCTCAGTGCGAAAGATGAGTGGACATATACATTTTAGGGAATTTAATTTAGCTTTTGTGCAGTATATGCAGGGATGAATCGTACGCGATACAGTTCCCCCCAACTAGGTGCGCAAGATGAGGAAATCAATAAATTAACACTTTTTAAATCATTCATATTGGCGAAACTAATGAGACATGTAATTAGTAATGATTTCTATAAATGCACTCATTAAAGAATAGCAAGATTTACAGTTGAACGACTGATAAAACGCCTCGCCACATTAATGGGAATTAAAAATTTCAATTATTTTCGCATTGATATTTAGTCGTCAAAAATAATCAAACTTTTACAATTACACACCAGAAGACAGAAGAAGACAATGAGAAGTTTTGACAAACTGCAAAACACCAAATAGAGAGCAGTGAATATGAAAAATGAATACACTGTCTTAACTCCAACTAAAAATGATCAATGAAAGTTTGGTTGAAAATGAGATAATTTGATGAAATGGTAGTTAATAGAGACATAATTCGAATGTTAGTTTCATAAAGAGGACGACTACGTTTGTCAGTGCTAAGAAACAGTTTGTCTAATTCATAGAAGACAATCTTTGAAGCTGAACTTCAACTGTCCCTACAAATTCAATGATCCCTTTGAAAAGGAGGGATAACCTACCACGGTTGTCCTTATTAATGTATGTCTATCAATTCATCTGCTCCTGTTCAGCTAGGTATTTTGACCGTACTCAGCGTTTGCTATCCAAGCGCATCATCAAACATTTACCCTCACGCCTTTATAGAAGAGAAAAAAGATCCCCTGGCAGCTTTATTCTAAAACAACTGGTCGATTCTGGAAACCGAACGAAATGAATACAAAACACGTAGTTCAGTGAAGTTCAGCTAAACTAAGTGTTTTGTTTTCATTAACGTTTGGATGGATGAACCATTGAGGAGTATTCTTTTATGCAAGTTTAGAATATTTGTAAAGATGTCTTATCTAAAATATAAAAACTAAATTCTATACAAGTACAAAACCTCGCCTAGACTACTAGCTTGCTGTTTTTCTAGCCGGTCCCACGCCCGGATAAAGAGGGAGGATTGGGGCGTGGTGCTAGCAACTCCACCCCCAAAACTCAACCAAACCGCTACAGAAACTTCAATGCACCAATATATTAAAAATTCTAAAAATATAAGCAGTAACCTTATTTTTAGCTGGAATCGGGGAAGTGAAATGACGTAGGCTGGTGAAAGCCTTCGGGAAGCCAGTCAGCCGATGTGCCTGCTTCCGATGAACGCAAAAATAAGGATGGGTACATGGAATGTTCGTACAATGTACGAAACTGGAAAGGCTGCCCAGATAGCCACTGAAATTAGAAGGTATAGAATAGAAGTGTTGGGAATCTGCGAAAGCAGATGGAACGGAACTGCAAGGTGGCAACTACCAACTGGAGAGACAATAATCTATTCCGGCCACCCAGAGGACAACCACGAGCACACCGAGAGAGTGGCCATGATGATTTCACCAACAGCAGCCAAAGCTCTCATGCAATGGGAACTAATCTCCTCCAGGATAATGACAGCCAGTTTCAACTCAAATGGAAGGTAAGTTACAATC